ACGGCAGAATCATTGCGAATCATCGCGAATCAAAACGATGGGTCAAGCAATTAACAAGCTGTATAATCCTTCGGTTTCTTGCTTTCGTAACAGCGAACCGGCCTCATCTTATACGATGTGCATTTTGCAGCTGCAGCCCGTCAAAATCTATCACCGGGTGGCTGCATCTTTCTAATAGTATAAAACTACGCTAAAGGGTGTTATTCTAAGTGTTACTGCGCACAAGATAGTCATTCCATCAATCGCTGTAGTTCGCATTTCGATCCGGAGATCTGTAATACTTCACCATACATCAAAACATCCGACAACTAATTGATCGAATCTATCGCTTTCATATAAATGTCTTATAATGATCTAGAGGCCCCCCGGTTATCGTTCGTGATGATAGATTGGACGAAATCATCAACACTTGCCCTATCACCGAATACTATGTAAAAACTAGTACCTACTTCGTAGAATATATTTATATCGACATCCTTGTAACGCACTGTAACCTTGGCCCGGCTCTTCCAAGCAGACCTTGTTCACCAACATGCGCATTGGTGTACTGTGCCACTTACCTATCTACGGGTAGCACAGTCCGATGGATTCCGAAAACCTCCAGTTTTCCAGCTCGAGGTATGCATCGTGGCCGCTCATACACCTATATCAATATTCGGAGGCGTAAGTACGCGTGTCAGCTTATGCCATCTCAACGTTTCTTTTTGCTTGTGTACCTAGCGTTAGGTGGTTTATCGTTGGTGTGGATGAGTGTATGTTTTAGGTATGTACAGTAGCTGGTTAGCAACTTCTCGTATCCAAGTTTTTCAACTTCCCTGCTTCCAAATACATAGGCCAAGCGGCCTTCCTTGGAAGGTACATGTATGGACCGATGCAAATTCAATGCAATTCCACATGCAGGGAGTCAAAATAATCCCACTAGTTTCATAATCCACTTTAATCTGTACCAAACCAGACCAAACCAGTATTAAACTACCCACTTATCAGCCGCGACGTCATCATCATTCGTCAATTCGTCAACATCCCGCCCGTTTCCCTCCCGCGGACACACCACATGTCAATCCACAATCTGCAAAGCTATGATCGCTAATGATCGCCAAATTTAACACAAAACTCCTGTACACACCCAGACCACCCAGACACCAGCCCGCCTGTTGTTCTACACCAGGATACAGTTGGCCAAGTAATCGGCCCTACAACTAAAAACAACTTATTTTCTGTCATAAGAGTTGGCAGAAAGATACGTTTAACTCTTAACTCACCTTTTATTTTATTTTATACCCATCGACGTTTGAAAAGAATAGTTCTAATAGAGCCAGGCTAATGTAACTTCTTTGATCATCAAAAGTCCAAGCTCCTAATGTCCGTCACAATAGCCTATCCTTGATGATCTATCTACATTCCACTATCGTTTTTATCTCGCCCAGCCACACAACCTTCGCTTCATTACCTCCGAGTGAATATTTGACCTACCTTCTTTTTTTCCTACTTTAATCAACTTGGCTAGTTTGTTCGTTCGCTCTAGAGAAGCTTACTAGCTTTCGTTACTTAGACTGACTACGTCTATCTTGCTCCCCCTTTCCTACAATAGCTCCGGCGAGGCTACCTTGGCAGTTTAACTACCTAGCTATACCGACCGACGACATAAAGCTCCGTTACCAAAATTTGTCTTGTGCCAATTGGCATCTCCTGATAGTTTTATACGACGGTCACTGAGGTTAAGCTGCCAGCCATGGCGCCCTCTTTCCTAACCTTCAAGGAATTTCGAAGACGATCGCGAGCTAGTTTCCGTACCGATCGTTCTACTGACGGTTCAAGCTACGACGAACACCAGAGTCAGAACACAACTCCCACCAACGGTTCCGTCACTCCTCCTTCGATAACAGCCCAATCCGATCCAGGATTTCCTACGCAATCCAAAGACCAGCAGCAACCCCCTCCAATTCCACCTAATAGGCCACCACCTCAGCCCAATTTCAACCGATACAGTGTATCGGGAATGGCTGGGTTGGGATCTCCTGTGCTCAACGGCAAATCCTCACTACCCGTGTCGCAGTATGCCCCTCGAATTACTAACATTGGGGATAATACCTGGGTATGGTGAAAATTTCATTTGTTCAAAATGAAAATGCCGTTGGGCGTTCTTGAACCCATGAATTGGCAGAATTAAGCAGAATTCCAGTTCGGATGTTGTTTCTTATATATATATGCTGATCAAAAAGCAGGTCTCGCAGAAAATCCTTCTTATCAATGGTATGATTGGGGAAGCAGGTCAGCAGGCACCGGAAGGGACTGTTACGGTTTGCAGACTAGACGATGGATTCCCACCTACATATTGGCCGGTTTGTGAGTCGCAGTTCAAAGCGTTGGTATATCTCATGCCCGGCGCAAACAAATTGCGTCTCGACTTCTCGAGCCCAAAACTCGCAAACAGCGGTTCTTCAAACCCGATACATTCGTCCTATATCACCGTGCATATGGTCCCTCCTATGAACTCGCCGCCATTACAGCTTGCCATCTTACTCGCGAAGGACTCTCCCGGCACATTTGATGCTGTCCCTGCTCGGATTGAGAAGGAAGGAAATGATATCGATACAGCCATTCGCAAATTCCGTATGGCTGCTTACCTCTGGCAAGCGTTTACTGCCGAGCAGATGTGGAGAAATAAATTCGGCCGACGGGTGTTCAGGTTTGAAGAGGAATGGACAACAGGCACCTGCAACTATCGGGATAGAGAAATGGGCGCGATGCGATCAGAAGCGCGTATTCACGTTATTCGATCAGATAAGACCCTAGCCGAGATCAGGGACCTTAACCTGGCACAACAGAATCCTAAGGCGACTAAAAAAGGTGATCTTTACGGCATTGCTGCTGACGCGCTTAAGAATTACTTCAAGCCTCTCCCAGGGCAAACGCAACATGTTTCGGTGTTACTTCTAGACGCTCACTGGGATACGAATTCGAAGGTCGTCACGGGTCATGCAGCTTTAGGAGGGAATGCCGGCGACTTACACATGGCCATTTTTGGCTCTCACTGTCTACAGAGTTACCCTACGAGTTTCGAAGAGGTCGTACCGGCGTTTACCGACTGCACACCTACTGACACCAAATTTGTTGCAAACGACTGTAACGAGTCCGGAAGCTCCTGGGAAGCTGCCAATATTGGCATCGGCGCCCATCTCCACGAAACCGGCCACCTTTTCGGATGTCCGCATCAGGAGAGCGGGGTCATGCTAAGAGACTATGTCAAGTTGAACCGTTCATTTATATCTCGGGAGGCTTACTCTACTCGGACCAAGTCGAAGGGAGGGCCCGTGTCTCAGGCTGACGAATGTACCTGGCACCGTCTTGATTGCCTTCGATTCCGCAGTCACCCTTGCTTTAAGCTACCTAATGATCCCATCTTGAACCCCGACGCAAGTATTCAGGCTTGGCCGGTTGAGAATGGGCATGTTCAAATCACAGCAGCTACGGGGGTTTCGTTTATAGAAATCTATCCGGAGGGTGACGACTTATGCCACACGTGGATCGAGTATCCGTTAGAAAACGGCTCTGTACAACGTAACCTGACTCTTACGGAACAAGAGCTCCGCGACAGACTACCCGAGAATAAGCGACGTTCGAAGATGAAGGTCTGCATCAAATCGCATGGCGGTGGAAACCTCGATATCAACGACTTTCATAGCCTATGCTCAAAAGCATCTTCTCTAAAGCTGTCTTTCGGCAAATCGGCCTATCGTAGCGACAAACTCGGCTTCTCGCAAATGGAGGGAAGTCAACCGCAAGAATTCGTTTTTACGAGCGCAACGCAGAAAACCCGAGTGCTATCCCGCGTTGTGGTCTATCACGGTTTTGCTTTAGATGGTATTGAATTTTTCTACGACGATGAATCTAGCCAGTTGTTTGGAAAGCGTGGGGGTAAACCTGGCGGCGATACGTTTGAAATGGGTAGGTTATAGCAAAGTCCCCCACCGTTGGCCCTTAATTCTGACTTCTCCTAGACCGCCGCCGTGGCGAGTATATTACCGGCTTCTTCGTACGGTCAGGACAGTGGATAGACGGCATTCAGATCCTTACAAGTCTCGGGAGAAAATCGCCAATTTACGGCAATGCGCACGGTGGCTCTCCGTACGTTTTATAGAATCCCCCTTAACGTCTAATTAAGATTGCTGACAATGATAATCAGTCATACTCTCCTCCCACCGCGCGGTTACACGGTCTGTGGCGTTTCTGGGTCATGCGCAGCCTGGATCGACGGCTTCTCAGTTATTATCGCTCGGTAACCACAGTACTTAATACAGGACCTTCTCGGATGTCAGAAGGCGATAGCAGAGAAGAGACTGTGTTCGCTAGAGATAGAATACCAGCCTATCCATATGGGAATCCCCCAATGGCAGGTTGTACGGATTCCCACATCTGCATATTCGTTTTGTCGTAGCATTATATCCCCGGGCATACACAGGATTCGCGACTTGGCCTTTTTGTTTCTTCGTTTCGCATTAACATACATAATTACTGCGTCCAAAGGGAAGATTGGACCTGATTCAGTGAGCATGGCAAGGCGGACGGGTTATCCAGTATCATTTTGGTGTGCGCAAGACGGTTGGGTTTATGGACCATGGCTGGGCTAGTTATTTGGACAATTCCAGGCATACAAAGGCGAGAGACACGCAGGGGACGTTGTCTCGCGAAATAATAAGTGTTTATACAGGACCTTCATTAGTCGAGCTGGGTAAAGGGTCGAAGACGGGGGATGGGGACGGAGATGACGGGGTTGCTGCCCGAATCATTGTACATAGGTAGGCAGGCAGTCAGCAACCCCAGGAACTAATAAGGTGCTCTGCTTCTAAGAGAGCCATTCGAAAGATGCGTCGTGTTGGGTCGTGAATGGTGGAGGTTACATGGCCAATTAACAATTAGTTGTCTCCTTTTCGAAATGAGTCGATAGTAAACTCGAGTAATTATTAGTCCCGCAAATACTTGAAACCCGATGAATCCTAACTTGCTTTTTTCACTAACCTAAGGTATTGAGTATGACGACTTTAGATCTTGATTAGGTATGTTTGTCCCACGCGGGCATTAGATATTGTAGGTACGTATATTGCTGATTACCTATGTAAGTGATGTCGGTCTGGTGCTACCTTAATTTATGTAACTTCACGTATGTAGCACAAAGATACCTCAACAAAGAGCCGGTTCCAATGGGCTCGCTATTCCTCCCCGAGACGGAAGCCACTTGTCCCAAGAGAGACTAGCGGGACCTGAACGTGTCCAAATGACGGCATCAATGATGCTGCGCCTGCCGAAGCAAAAAAATTAAAAAATAAAGCCCATATGATTCAAAAGTTGCTTATTTTCTACTGCCAAGATTTTCGACAACATCTATTCACCGTTTCCTCTCAAACAGTCATCACCCCGCCGTCGTCGATACCCACGTAAATCGACCCTTGCCGTGCTTAATAGCTTTATTTCTGAGCTATCGAGGATTTTTCCACGCTGTCGGCTTCTCGCAACGAAGATTCGGTGAAGGAAAGAAGATATATACCTAGATACGCGGTTTTTGCAATAGGGAGAATAAAAGCTTCGACAGGCTTTTATACCTGAACTGGATAGGGAAGTGGAGCGAAGGGACTTTGTGCTGCTAGAGTAAAGGATAAAGACGAAAGGATGTCGAAACGATCGAGCGGTGCGAGCAATGGCGCCGCGGCCAAGGTCAACCAGACGAGCGTTGCGGATGAGCCTTGTATGTTGTCTACCCAGTACGGGGCGTGTTATCGAATTATGTTAATACTAACACTATGATTGTATAGCGTATAAGAAGCAGAAGGACCTTCTCTCGTCTACGGGCCATTTCTCCTTGCTGAAGGCTTTGCATATGGCGGACTATATTACTGAGCTGAATGGTATTTCCCCCCTTTTAACAAATTCAAATGATATTATATACTAGAAGAGAGAGAATCGTTACTAACAAGTGTCACTCTTCGCTATACAGGCGCTTGCGGCATCCTGTCCGTCTTCTCTTCCCTGCGCTACTGCCTTGGCGACCCCGCGGACAAGACAAATGTATACCTCGCGCTTGCGTTTCTGCCTTTGGGGCTATTCTTCGATTTCATGGATGGTCGGGTTGCAAGGTGGCGGAAGAAGAGCAGCATGATGGGTCAGGAGTTGGATTCGCTGGCGGATTTGGTAGGTTTACTCCGTTCTGCCCTACATTGTTATGTTTTGTCTACCCCGCCACTCTACAGAGACATCTTGGTCCTACTTTGACTATTACGGCCATTTCACTAGGCTATAGAAAGACAATAATAGTGTCTGAACCGGTTCACTAACTTGAGCTCCTACAGATTTCCTTCGGTCTCGCCCCAGCCTGCGTAGCGTTTAGCATCGGTCTGCGCACAACACTCGACCAGGTGTTCTTAGCCGCTTTCGTATTATGTGGTTTAACGCGACTAGCACGCTTCAACGTCACGGCAAATAGCGGCGATATCCCCAAGGACGCAAGCGGAAAGGCCACCTACTTCGAGGGCACTCCCATTCCCACGACACTAGGTATCGACGCCCTGATGGCGTGGTGGGTGAGCAAGGGCTGGGTTCTTGATCAGGTCCCCGGCGGCACGCTATTCGCAGGCACCAACTTCGAAGTCCACCCCATTGTCGCCATGTTCCTGATCCACGGGTGCCTGATGTGCAGTAAGACTCTACACGTACCTAAGCCCTAACAACGGTCTATCATTTATATCTCCCTCTCTGCCTTGTATTAGCAGGTAGGCAGACCAGGAGAGTAGGCGGCAGGGTAACTTCATACGGTTAGATTTGGTTTTTTTTTCGGTTCGGCTCGGAGTGTCGGGGGAGAATAAATACCTACTCTACTTATTTGTTAATGGGATGAGGTGTTTTGCCATACGGCTAGCAAAAGGGGGGAGAAAGGAAACATAAATACTGCTGCGCGAGGAGGAGGAGAGCGGCGAGGGGGAGGCAGGAGAGAGATATTACGCATATATTACGCATGGGCAGACGAGCATACGTATAGAAAGAACACTTATGGTAGACAGCAGAGCAGAGCAGAACAGAACAGAACAGAAGAGTGCGTTTGTTTTATGTTAACTGGTGTATCTTGAGGGTGTGCGTGTTTTCCTTTGCTGACTTAGTCTTGTCGGTTGTATGGAGCCATGGCTTACTTTGAACGGGCATGTTCTTTGGTTAGGGGGTTAGAAGAGATTACTCAAGTCGCGTAGAGAATAAAGCAGATAAGGGCAGGTAGTTATGTTAGTCGGCAAGATTACGAATACTAAACTTGCAAGTCTTGCCATCTACCCCTTTTTTACTTGGGTATACATGATTGTTACCCAGAGGCGGACTGGTCCTATGGGTTGGGATGTAGTATGTATGTATGTGTAAATAAATATCACGTAGGTGCTTGAAGGTATGTAGTAGGAACATAAAGAGGCGATATATCCCGGAGCAGATGCCCAAGTGACTCAATAATATACATATATATAACCTGGATTTGTTTCCTTGGCTGGATTTATCTTGGATACCTAGGTAGGTACCTGATATAGAGGATATGTATTCTCCATGTTAGTGTATATCACGATTTCACGGTAGACGTATTTCCAGACGTATCCCATTTTAAAATTATATCCTACCCTTCTGGAGCATAGTCCACATCTCTTGTATTTAGGTAGGTAGTGGAATGGTATTTATCATCTTTCCCATCGAAGCTACCTCATATATGTCATATCCTTATGGCGGAGGACGTCGTGAATTTGTGACGAGACGAGTAATCTCTGAATTAAGGTCCCTATCTTCTATGATACATCTCCTGCTTCCCCGTGTCAGGTATGCATTGGTCATAATGCTGGCGTTCAAAGTCGTAGTATCATCAGGCTAGTAATCTAAGAACGAACGGAGATTCATATGTCTCTCCTTTCTCCATACTAGCAACAATCCGTTGCATACTAAATCCTACCTATCCAGCCATCACGACCCCATATCCTGGATCAGCCCCCTTAGCACACCCTTCTCAGCAAGAGCCCGCACCCAATGGTGTATCGCAGGTGTGTAATCCCGCTGCCGTCCACGTATTATATCCACCGCTTCATCTACCGTTGCCAGCTCGGCAACGTACTGGGCGTCAAGAGAATCCTGCTCGGTTCTTAGTTCTTTCCCTAGCTTCAGCGCTTCATCCGAGTTGAAATCCGGGTGGCTTGTCCTGATCCTGTATAGATCCGGAAGCTCTCGAGATGTGATATCTTCGCGTGTCAGGTTTCGCTGGGCGAGATGAGAGGCGGGGAAAGCTTTGAAGGGGTCTGGGACGGTCCAGTTGGTATTTCCGCTATAGAGCTCGTGTAAGGCGTGGGAGCAGGCTAGACTAGTAGCAAATTCTTTGGCTAGAGTCTGGAGAGGAGATTGGCAGATGGCTAGGAGGCTGAACTCTGGAATCTCCGAGTTGCGCGTCATACGCTCTTTGATCGCTGTGCTTGCTGTATCGATCCATGAATCCGATATAGGACCTATAGTTATCATTAGTTAGCAGAAAGTTGAGACGCTTTATTCCTAACAAGATGGCATACCAAGACATAATGGCATCATTTCAAAGCCATCAAGTTCCCAAACCTGGCCGTTCACGGGCACGTAGGCGATGTAGTGATAGTTTGTCTCGACGAGTCCCTTGCGTGGGGCACGGGTAGACTTCTTTTGCGTTCTTCTTTTTTTCACCGTTACTGACTCTTCATACTTGTTGTCAAGACATAGATCCTCAGAGAGGAGATCGATACGTCTGTTTGTTTAGGTTAGATAAAGCCTAAGTAAAGAAGAGGTATAGTCGTACCTTGCAACGGAATTATGGACGCTTCGGATGAAGTCATTCTTGTCGAGGGAGCTGCCTCGATGGGGAGGCGGTAGTTCTTTTGTTGATTCTCTGAACTTCTGGAGTTCCGTACCAAGGGTGACGTCTTGAGCATTCATTATGATATTCATGAGCGCTACGGTAGCACAAGCATTTGCTGTCGTCTATAGGTCTGTTAGTCGACATATAGCCTAAAGGCTTAAGAAGAAATACATACCTGATTGGCAAACCAGAGATAGTCGGGACACTCCTGGCGGTTTACCTCGTTGCTTGGCTCATCAGATCCATCATATTGGAATAAGAAAATGAGACCATGAACGGGTTTGCTGCTCCTTGTTAGTATTGCTATATCGAGGATATGGGGTACTAATCTTACGGTAGGAATTCTAGGATGTCTGGATCCAGACTGTACACTTCTTGCACCTTGAAGTCCTTAGCTTCAAGCTCTTGCAGAATGGCATTGAAGAATCCCTAGATATGTTAGCTAAACAAGTAGGAGCGAGACTATAGCTTAGGTACACAACTTACAGGCTCAGATTCAAGTTCTACCCAACCACCATACTCTTTGCGCTCATCCTGGGACATTCGACTCAGGGCCGCCTCTAGGAGTGGACCAGGATCTTCGGGAATGATATTCTCTTTTGCAATCTGAGCTGCTTTACGCTTTGGGCGGGTTGACGGAATGGCAGGCTGGATAGGTGCTTTATAAGCAGGGATGACATACTCCTCATCGTATTTGGTAGGTGCCTTTGTCGCTCTGCCTGAACGACGCGTGCCGTTATTAGGTGTATCGGTATTCTTCACTTCATTGCTATGCGCGTTGTCTGGAGACACGGGAGGTGTCCCAACTTGCTCAGGTTCCGCCATTAATGCAGTGAAATAATCTATCCTGGGCTTTGCTTTTTATGAAGCAGTGTTATGTAAAACGAGAGCGAAGATGGTAGATGGCGCTGCGATGCGCTTAGTAGTAATGTAATGAGAAGACGGAATAAGGCAAGCCGTCAAAGAATGCCTTATAGAAATTGAGTATGGATTTTAGGAATGTTCTCAAACGAAATAAATGTCGGGGATCTTATTCCTAAATCGATAAGATTAGGAGGTAGATATTTGTGCTGAGGAAAGTGTAAAGTGTGGATATTAATTGGCAACAAGGCGTGGCAGCGAGATGTAGGTGTAGACGTCGCAGACGTTGTGGACGATAATTTAAGCCTTGTTCACTAAAACAATATAGGAAACGGCAACCGCAAAAATATTTCTTTATTTATGCGGCCCTGTACTTAATCTATCAGCAAGATATATATATATATATGTATATATGTATGTATATATTTCCTGGTTAAAAAAATTAACATTGACTTACATACATTGGCTCCGAGGATGGTTGAGGCTCAAGTGAGGCTATAAGAACAGTATGGGTTTCTATCAGGTACTATGTTCTCCATCCTGCTGGATTTTTAGACCGGCTGTGAGTTATGTTAACTACCTTTTGCATAAATGACTCAGGGGCTTTAAAGGTTAGGAAACACAAAGGCAGCAGTTTGATATACCTCTACGAACACATGCCTGATACATGGCACGGCCTGCGTCTTTCCTTCTTATTTCTTTTTAATTCATTTACAACACAAGCTCTGCTCGTATTTACCGTATAGATTAATAGTTTTAGTCACTGCTCTCTTTGTATATGTTGAGGTTGGTTGGCTCGGCTAGGAGAGGCTGAGATATGGTTGAGCTGTGTCGATGTCACCTGTGATGTGATTAAACTGAGGGGATGAAGCTGATGTAACGGAATAATTTCCGACTATCCACTGATAATATGTATGAGCAGTTTAATATTATCAATTGATTGTACTTTTACTGTTGGGATATGTTTAGACCAAAGGAAATCGATGGATGATGTCCATAGCAGCCTTTTGGTTGTGTATTGTGTAATTGATTGTTTATATGTTGTATGTAACACTGGAGTAACATTGAAGGTAGATTGGTACAAATATTGATTGCATGTACCTGTAGCTATAGGTACTTACCTCCTACCTAAGCTTATGATGTAGCTACCCGCTCCCTACCAACGGTATATACCCACTTTTGACAGCTAGTGCATGTACCTACGAAGCCCTAAAACGTCTACCTATACTTTTCCGCCTGTACGGATTACTTTACTTGAATGTCCCACTTGCCCCACGCTATAAGATAGAATGTCATAGCTCCAGATAACTAAGGAAAAAAAGAGCTTCCGAGAAATGCTATGCTAACGGTTGGCAAGCAGCTGCGTGTGACAGTCAAAGCCTTGGCACCATTCAGAAATTTAGAATTTCTGAACGCGCCCGCGTCGTGATGTTGCTTGCATTTTATTGCCAGATCAACCCTAAAATCTCCGCCCACTCTCGCCCACTCGCCTATTCGACGAGCTCAACAAAGGTATTTACATACCTCCCTCCTTCGCGCTGGCTCGACAACATAGACAAAGTTAAAACAACATATAAACATACATTTGGCTTGATTAAACACCTTTACTGGTCGAATTTAAGTCAAATATATCTTGACACTTTGTCTACTCTCCCAACCAAGATTTCCATTTGCCCGACCAATCGATCAACCGATTTACCAACTTGGTCGATATTTCGATATTTCGATATTTTCTTCCGCTCCTGATGGTTCGTCACCATCGCGGAATGCAATGAATCCTGGGACGCCGCGCGTGGGCGCTGGAGGTTTCCCTCAAACACCAGCCGCTAGAGCTCAAAGACCACGTCAGGCACAAGATGCTAAACCTCGAACTTCTCTACCAACCGCTCCCGAAAACCAACCTACTTCCTCTCCGAATAGCCAGCCGGTAATCCCTACTACCATTATCGACGCACCCACCCAGCGATTCTATGCCTTCGCCATTTACGTAGCCCTTTTAGGATGGCGCTTCTACGACTGGATACAAATACTAGAGGATAATGGCGGCTCATTCTACTTTTTCTGTAAATGGGTCATCTTTGACTTTATTTTCTTCTTCTCTTTACCTTCGATGCGCATACCTTGGTTGGAGCTGGCCGCACCGACGGTTTCTATGATCTTCTTTGGCCATCTAGTATTTAACTGGCTTCTAATGTTTAACATTCCCGTGCCTTGGCATTCCTGGCTTCTCGGTCTTGTTAAGGTCTTCTATGACAAGGAACTTGCTATCTCTGAGCACAATGTTAAAGTCTCGAGCATTCTGCATAATTCCTCTCTTATCATGGGAAAGCAGATCATTAATATCCTTCCTGAAGGGTAAGTCTTGGTAACCGTGCTACGTACGTGTAGTAGACCGTTTCTAACTTATTATGATAGCTCTGCCCTTCTTAATCCTGAAAAGAATCCTTACTGTCTCGGCCAAGGCCAGAATGTAGCGACTGTACCCATCTACTTCAACGCTACAGTTCCCGTCGAGGTCGAACTTCTTCGCTTCGATCTGGAATCAGATTCTCAAGAGGTATTGAAACTCAGCCGTAAAGAGATTAGGGAAATCGGCAAGCAGTCAGCGAAATCTATCGAAGATGGAGCACTGGGGATTTACAGATACGACATTGCTATA